CCATCACACAAATCTCGAATCATTTCCAGTCCAGATAAATGTTGAGGCCTTCAGGTCATAATACTGCATCAAAACGTGTGCATTCAGACTGCCTATATCCCCACATTTTATGACAAATTTATAAAACTGCAATGGCAAGAAAACAGCAAGGTCTAACCACAGTAAGTGCCACATCTTCAGTGTCAGCTTCCTTCTGGGTTTTTACGCACCTAGACTACCTGCTAGTAGGTATCATTTTAACACTTCCTTAAAGACCAGTTATTTCTAACTATAAATACATACCCTGATATATTGTTGCAAATTAGAAGTGTGCAAAAGAAGAAAACTAATAGTTATTTCAGCGCCACCAGTCTCGCTCGCACTTGACTGAATAATCTATGGTGCCTGTATGGGCTGAACTATGTCCCCCCTAAATTCATATGCTGAGACTCTAACCCTCCACATCTCAGAATGTGACTATATTTGGAGATAGAGCCTTTAAAGAGATAATTAAGTTAAAATAAGGCCATCATACAATCTTACTGGTGACCTTATTTTAAAAAAAAAAAAAAAAGAAAAACTAGGACATGCAGAGACGCTAGGGGTAAGGTGCACAGAGGAACCACCATGTGAACAGGCAAAAACACAGGCCTGGAGCAGATCCTTTTCTCATGGCTCTCAGAGGAAACCAACCTTGTCAGGACCTTGATCTTGGATTTCCAGCCTCCAGAACTGTGTGGAAATAAATTTCTGTTGTTTAAGCCCCACTCCGTGTGTGGCATTTTGTTATGGCAGCCCTAGCAAACTAATACAACACCTACAGCCTAATGAATTGGATTCCCTTGTTGGTGAACTGGAGGGCTGCAAACAACTATGACAAAGGCAATTAACATTAACACATATCAGTAATTGCCTTTTGGTAATTTCAAAACTGTAGACAAAAGACTGAGCTCGCCGATTTATTAAAATGTAATAAATACAGAATACATACAAAGCAATCAGTGCGGCTTCAAACCTGGGTCCTCTTCTAACAGGTGCATGTACCTGAAACTCAACTAGTGGCATACCCAGCTACCCAGACAGAAGAAATAAGGTGAAGTGTCAAGGTGTTTCCCTCTCCACAACAGATAATTCTGGTCGTAACAGCTCTCTGGAGGTATGAATGAAAGCTGGAATAACACATTTCAGGATCCTTTACTGTTTTATGATTCTAAAACTGGCAGCAGCACAGAATGCACTAGTTAAAAAAACAGGGTTTCCTCTGGCCTCACAAGTATTTCTGCCCTATCTATCTTGCCCGCTCATACGTGCTATTCGGATATTTGAAATGCCTGGTGAGGTGGGAAAACGTTTTAAAAGCTAGCTCTTTAGCAAATGAGACTATTTTAGCCAAACAGAGAAAACTCGAAACCATTTATAAACTCACCCCTCGAGGCTTTCAAGATCTTACAACCCAGGCCACCGCCCAGGCAGAGCGTCCCCGCCCTGGATCGCCCATACCTGCGTCCGGAACCTTCTGGGTTCCACCACTCGGACTCCCGATGCCCCAGCCCGTCAGCCCGACGCCCCCCCGCATCCCCCAACTTCACAGCCCAAGTCTCCCTCCAGCCAGATTTACCTCAGGCCTGGCGTGCTCCGGCCGGCTCGGATCTTCTGCACCCGCAAGGGGAGGCCCAGGAGACAGCTCAAGGCCGTAGAGACTCTCAGGATCTGGCCGCCCTACAAAGGGTGGGGTACAGGGAGAAGAGACGTAAGCACACCGGTGGAGAGAGCTGCCCTCCTTAGTCTGGCGGCAGCTCCGGCCGCTTCGCTCTGCACTCACCCCTTCCATGATGCTGCCATCGACCTCTACCCGCGGCCCCGCCATGGGGGGCACCCTGGGGCCCAGCTCGCAGCGACAAAGCCTCCGCCGGAGCGGGAGAAAGAAGAGACGTTGGCTCCCGCCCAGTAGTTCAGAAATCTCGGTTCACGCCTGGTGCTGCAGGATCCTGGCGAAAAAGCGGAAGAAGCGGCGCCTCTCGGGACACCGCAGTCAGCTGAAACGAACCCCCGGGTTCGCCCAGGTCTGCAGTGGGTGCGCATGCGCATAGCTCGGCTTAAAGGCGCCGCGCTGGGAACGCCGCGGTCAGGGCGAGGAAGCTGCCGGAGAGGTGAAGTGACTGTCGCTGAGGTGCCCAGGAGCCCTGAAAGACTTGTGCCTGGACACAGCAAAATCTGCAGGTTGCAGAAAGTCTCAACTGTAAGATAATTCCGCCAGTTATCCCGCAGGCTTGTGCTTTATCTCTGTTTTGTGGGTAAATATGTGTTTATATCTGTTTTCTCGAGGACCCTGGCATACCCCGAGATGCCGACTTTTAGAGCTGAAGATGCAAGAAAGATCGGGACCCTGCGATGCACCGACCACCTTCTCTCTGGTTGGCTTTCACTGTACCTGTCTCTCGAAGTGTGTGCGCCCTGTTCCGTTGATGGTCTTAACCTTTCGTTCCTCGCTGGGTGCGTGTTTGTGTATGCAGAGTGTGTTATCTTTGTTTCTAGGGTGACACACCATTTATTTGAGGGGCAGGCAAGGCAGAATCACTAGTTCAATACTCTGAAAAGCCAAAGTTATGCCATTTTACTTGAGAGTGAGTGTGAGCCCTTGACTCCGAGGAACAGTGCAGCTGACAATTCACCTCAGGCGAGGGCAGAAGCAACAGCCAGCTTCTCGGTTCTGCCTGTGGCTCAGTTCCTACATAATTGGGTACCAAATAACATGTAAACCTCTAGGGAAGCAAAAAGAGTAAGTCAGCGTCTACCCCCGAAGTTATTGGAGGTATAATGGAGAGACTGAGACGTAATCAATTACAATGTCATCCTCAATAATAATAATTAACATGTACTGTATCTATTTACAGTTTATTATGGGGACAATTACAATATATTAATAATATTCTCTAACAATAACAGGCAACATTTATTGAGCATTTAGGTGTTGTGCACTGCATGCGTTCACACCGTGATAAAGTACTTACTGTTTTTACTGTTTTACAGCTTCCTGTGTTAAACTATTTGCTACAAGGTCACACAATTTTAACTAGAAGACTAAGATGTGAACCTGGGTGGTCTGATGTGAACACCAACACTGTGCTGCTTTGCGACAGAGAATGTTTTAGGGAACACACAGACTATGTACTTAACCAAATCTGGAATTTGCCATAAGGTATTAATCAGAGAAGTAATAATGTTTGCATTTTAGAATGAAGGCTTTGGCAGTATGAGGAGGGTAAATAAGAGGCTTAAGAGCCTGAAGGGAGAAACACCAATGATGCAATTATCCAGCAAGAGATAATGAGAAGTTGAAGTAAGGGAATGATGGTAGGGATGGAATATAAAAAAGCTGTACCCCATCTGACATCTTTATTGGGGAAACCCGCCCCCAATATTTCAACGTAGGTTCTTTCTATTTTCCATAAGTGTCGGCCAACTGAGAAATAAAGAGAGACAGTATAAAGAGATGAATTTTACAGCTGGGCCGCTGAGGGTGACATCACATATTGGTAGGACCGTGATGCCCACCTGAGTCTCAGACCAGCAAGTTTTTATTAAGGGTTTCAAAAGGGGAAGGAGTGTAAGAACAGGGAGTAGGTACAAAGATCACATGCTTCAAAAGGCAAAAAGCAGAACTACTAGTAAGGGCCTAACGAAGATCACATCCTTCTGAGGGAACAGGACAAAAGGCAAAAGCAGAACTACTGTTAAGGGTCCAACAAAGATCACAAGGCAAAGGGCAAAAGCAGAACTGCTGATAAGGGTCTATGTTCAGTGGTGCATGTATTGTCTTGATAAATATCTTAAATAACAGAAAACAGGGTTCAAGAGCAGAGAACTGGTCTGACCACAAATTTACCAGGGCAGAGTTTTTCCCCACCCTAGTAAGCCTGAAGGTACTGCAGGAGACCAGGGCATATCACAGTCCTTATCTCAACTGCATAAGACAGACATTCCTAGAGCGGCCATTTATAGACCTCCCCCCAGGAATGCATTCCTTTCCCAGGGTACTGATATTAATATTCCTTGCTAGGAAAAGAATTTAGCAATATCTCTCCTACTTGCACATCCATTTATGGCTCTCTGCAAGAAGAAAAATTTGGTTCTTTTTGCCCGGCCCCTCAGGCAGGCAGACCTTATGGATGTCTTCCCTTGTTCCCTAAAAATCGCTGTTATTCTGTTCTTTTTCAAGGTGCACTGATTTCATATTGTTCAAACACATATGTTTTACAATCAATTTGTACAGTTAACACAATTATCACAGTGGTCCTGAGGTGATGTACCTCCTTAGCTTACGAAGATAACAGGATTAAGAGATTAAAGTAAAGACAGGCATAAGAAATTATAAAAGTACTATTTGGGAACTTATAAAGGTCCATGAAATCTTCACAATTTTTGTTCCTCTGCCGTGGCTCCAGCCGGTCCCTCTTTTCAGGGTCCCTGGCTACCTACAACACATCTTTGATTCCTATTACAGAAACTTAACCTTCCCAGAAGAAGCCTTGCCTTTTTATTTCTAATTTTGGCTATGAATTCCTTGCTATGACCCATTTGCCCCATTCTAACTACTTCCAGTGGTAGGGGGAAAAGAACAAGACAGTAATATAATGTAGAGATGAGCTCACTGTGGTAATAATAAGCACTTATGTAGTGCCTTCATATACATGATCTGTCTTAATGTTCATAACAAAGCTGTGAGTTTGGTGTTCTTATCTCTCTTTGGTCAACGAAAGACTGAGTCCTAGGGAATTGGAAGTGACATGCCAAGATGACAGAACAATAAAGTGGCAGAGTTGGGTTAAATCCTGGGTTATTTTAATGACAAATGACAGACCAATAACTGATTCCTCAATAAAACAATGGAAGTCAGAAAGAGTAGAATTGTATATTCAGAATGCTGACAGAAAATAACCATCAACCTAGAATTGGGTACTCAGCAAAATCATCTTTCAAGAATTAAAGTATAGAAATAAAATAATTTCCAGATACATGGAAAATGAATTTAACATCTATCTACACTTTCTAAAGGAAGTTCTAAAGGATGTACTTCAGAAAGAAAAATTACTTCAGAAGGAGAGTCTAAGAAGAAGTGATGGGCAAAGAAAATGTAAACACATAGTTGAATCTAAGCAAACATCACATGAAATAACACCAGACAACAAAAGTATGTAAGATGAGAGGTGGATGACAAAGTTAAAGAATTCTAAGGTCTCTCTTTGCAGTTAGGATATCAATTAATAGAGTTGACATAATTCAAGACTTTAATATAAGTACGCAAGGTAAAGTTTCAAGGATAACCATGTAAGTGTGTAACTTCTAATCCAGCCGAAGGAAAAAATGGGCTAACGGGAAAATACAGATTAAATGAACAAAAACCTAATACTATAATGAGCATTTAAAAAAAAAAAAAGAAAAGAAAACACTAAAGTAACAAAATATAAATAAATTAATATATATCAATAGTAGCAATGAAAGTAAATATACTTTATGATGAAAAGCCAGAGATTGTTGGAAGACACATACCCACAAATTTAAAAAATGAAAAAGCCAGAGATTGGTAAAAAAAAAAAGCGCCATTTACATGGGATGCACCAAAAACATTAAGGATGGTGAGGGGTTGCAAATAAAAAGATGGAAAAGATACACCATATAAATGCCAACAAAAAGAAAGGTGGTATACCTGTATTAGTGGTATACCTATATTTTGTATTAAATTAGACTTTAATACAAAAAGCATTATCATTGACCAAAAACAGTCACTACAAAATAATAAAAATTGTGTTCCCCAGGAAAATAGTTATTCAAACCTTTGTGTGTAATAAATAGCTTCAAAGTATGTAAGTGAGAAATTGAAGAAACTGGTAAATCCACTACCATATTGTGAAATTTTAGCTCAATTATTTATAGATCAAGCAAATGAAAATTTAGG